GAAATTCCATTTCTTGTTCCCTCCGTGCACACCCAGCTCAAAGGGAACCGGGTCTGGTGCCCATCACTTCTCTGGGGTCATTTTGGCCATTGGGGTCAATTCTCCCCCAAAAACATTCTTCCAGAAGGCTGCAGAAGCTTTCTAGGTCTCCTTTTCTTTCCCCCCAAAAATGGCAAAAATAGAGATCTTCTCCATGCCTCGTCCGTGAGGAGGTGAATTTTGGCCTCGTGCTGTTTGCCACGGCTTGTGTTGATCTGCACCACGCAGGATGTGCAGGCTGCGCTCCCGGACACCGGCAGGAAGAATTTTTTGTCTATGATGGCATTCAGCAATGTGCTTTTCCCTGCCCCGGTGCTGCCGAAGAGGCCGATGTGAATGGGGTCCAGCAAGATGTCTGGCTTCAAGCCCATGAGGCGGTTCCTGAGGGCAGAGAGAAGGGAAAAAAAAAAAAAAGACAATTTAAATAACTCCCACGGGCTTGTGCTTTTCAAAAGGGTGAAACTAACTTCTTTTCCTACAAGATTTGAGCTGGGATCTGTGAGATCCAGGATAAGCCCCGTGTTGGGTTCAGGGACAGGTGCCCAACAGCACGCTGCACATCACATCAGCTCCGGCCTCCTCTCGGCACCATCTGGATTTGCACCTTCTGATGGGCTTTTTATGATGGGATTTGTTTTTGATTTTATGATTTCATCCCATCAGGAACGGGGCTCACTGCCCCTGGGGAGGGTCCCTCTTGGACCAGGGAGGAGAGTGCCAGTGAACCTGGACACCCCGGGACACCCCCATGGATGTGGTGTCCTCCTGGGCTGCCCAGCAGCACGACACCCCCTGCATGCACCAGCCGAGGGAAAAAACCTTTGCAAGGTTCCCAAATATTCTGAAAATATCTCCTCTGCCAGAGATTTCTGCTGGCTTCAGAGTCCTTCTGTGCGCCAACAGCTCTGGGCCACCCCTTCCCAGGCAAGGACCAGGGGAACAAACGCCGGGCAACTCACTTGAGGTACTCGATCCCATTCCTTGTCTCGGGCAGCCTGTGCTCAGGAGGAACTGCAACAGCTTCCTGGAGGACGCTCCAGAGCGGCTTTTAGTTCGTTTTGCAGCTTTTTACCTGCAGGGAGGGTCAGAAGTCAGAGCAGCCCCGACAGAGCTCCCTAGGGAGACATCACGAGCCCCGTACTCACAGGACTTCAGAGCCTCTTGCTCCTGAGAGCAACTGAGTTGTGTTTTGCAATAAAAGATGTTTTTGCAGTGGGAAATTCCTCTAACCTTGCATATTCAAAAGGGATTGTGCGGCAGAGCAGTGGGGAGTGTGTGAAGCAGAGGAGGGGAAGGTTCCCCTGTCCCAAAGTAAGGAGGATAGCTAAGAAAAAAGAGGATGAACAGTACGAAATTAGGAAAAACAAAAATCACGAGCCCTCTGGTCACGAGAGAAAGGAAAAAATAAAAGGAAAAGGAGAAATTAACAATTGGTCAAATAAAATTGTACATGTATGGTATAGAAAGGCATCGAGTAGGTTGTGAACCTGCAGTACTCAGGCAGTGAGGAAAGGGGAGAAATCAGCTGTCAGGTAATAGGGGATAAAAGGTTAGGGTCAACTTTTACTGTACACTCCTGATTGCAGGACGCCCATCATTAATCACAAATAAAATAGCTTCACAGAAGATCCTCTCTAAGAAAATCATTGGATTTTTCTCACACTCTCCATCCTCAGGATTCTGGTCTCTCCTGAACTTTTTCTTTTTCCTGGGAGTCTCCTCCAGTGAGTCATCGCCACCACCTTGTCAGAGGGAAGGGGATTTCTGGTTAGTGTGCCTGCCTGCTCAGCCTCTCTGGGGGCGTTGTGAGCTGGGGATCCTTCCTGACAGCACCTTTAACGCCCTCATCTATCAGCCTCACCTGAGAAACGACCAGCTCATGAGCTAAGGAGGGATTTATTCCTAATATCTAACCCAAACCTGCCCTCTTTTAGCTTAAAGCCACCCCCCTTGTCCCAGGTCCCATCTCGGAGGAGATGCTGAGCCCTTCTCCATCGTATCCAGGCCCCTTCTCCATCGGGTGCACCTCGAAGGGAGCAGCACTGCAGCACCCAGGACTCGTTCCCGGTGCTGTTCGTGGTGACACCGAGCTCACCGTGTGCCAGGGGTCCTCCTTCTGCCATCGGGATGGAGAAATACAGAGCTGGGATGAGCTCGGGCAGGCAGCAGGGTGCTGTCGTGGGACGGATGCACGCAGGTGGTGGCCCCAAAAAAAAGGACAGAAACACTGCAAAAACCTCCTGAGGGAGAGAGGAGCACAGTCACCATCTGCATTGCCTTGAGGTGACACCACCAAGGCTTCATGCTGGTCCAGAGCAGGACTTTGGGAGGTTTTTGGGCTTCTGGCTTCTTCGCAGGACACCACGGCTTAGCCTTAAGGTGTCCCCAGGAGCAGGCTCAGCCCCACGCTTCGCGTGGGCACACGATGAACGTGAGGGTGGCAGGAGATAGAAACACACCAGGGACATCAAGGCTGATAAAACGGGCAGCCTTGAGAGCAGATGTAGAAATTATTTCAAGCAGATGCCACCCAGCACCCCGTGTCCGTACGTACCTGCCCCACGTGTGCTGCTGGCCACGGCACACCAGGAGAAAAGAAGCAACTGTCGCTGAAAACCTGGGCTGCAGGAAAAAAAAAAAATAGTTTCTAGGATTATCCTTGCTCTTTTATACCCTGTATCCTTTCTTTTTTTTTTTTTTTTGGTACTTTGATTAGCATTTTTTTTTCGCCTGAAAACACGTCAGGTAGACAGCTGTATACTACAAGGAAATGATCACGCAGAGTAAATCATCAAACAAGTTGCCTAGAAAAAAGAAAGCAAAGCAGCACCCACCCTTTATGACTCCAAACCGGTGACACCTACACAGCACAATCTTGGACGAACGTGTGAATGCCGAGGTTACGATTCTGTTAATTTGCTTTTCCAAGAAGGCAGGTTTTTAGGTTGAGTCAGATTAGAGCTACTACAAGAAAACCAACTCCAACAATTTATACCAGAGGTGCTGAGAGGCTGGAATATTTTTCCTGGAGAGAAACCCTTCCCCAGACTTCTGTCAGTAGGTATAAGGTGCTGTTAATTAATCAGGTTATTAGCAGAGAATACATTATTTAGGCAGCAGAAGTCTATCACAAGAGCAGATTCAATATACATAAGATTATAAAATCTTTGTTTCGGAGTTGAAGGCTTACCCAAAAACACCCCTCCAGCAGCAGAAACGAAACTCAGGTTTCGAAACCCAGGGCAGCTCCAAACTCCTCCTGCAGGGCAGGGGCAGGGGCCAGCCCATCCCTTGAGTCATTTATGTCCTCAGCTGCTTCCTCCTTGCACTCTCGCAGCCTGTAAATGCTGGCTGCTCTGCCGAGGGCTTTGTTTTTGGGTCTCGAGGGCTTTGTTTTTGGGTCTCAAGGGCTTTGTTTGGGTCTTGGTCACCCACCGGAGAGCTACAGGGGATTTGGAGCTGGCACCCACCCGGCTCCAAGGGCTTGTTATAAATGGCTCAGGATTCAAATTAGGATTAAATAAAAAAATAGGATTTATTAAAAGAATATAAAGGAATAGAGGTAAGCAAACAGCGCTGGGTGCACCGGGAGTCTCTGCTCCACCAGGACGCACACCAGTTACATCAAGCAGCTGATTTTTATGCACCTAGACTAATACATATTCATTACTACTTCTAAAAAAGTAGATTATTATAATTAGCTTCCGGGGTCCAGTTCCTCCTACTGGAGCATGCGCATCAGTCTCCTCTGGGGGTCTCTAGGGGTCTTTCATGCTGAAGGCTCGTAGTCTTCCTCTCACCCTTTGTACTTACGCGGCACTATTCCAAGTTTATGGAACACTCTCTGTACACTCTCCGCAGGTCTTGTCTCCCAACCGTCCTTCAGCTTCTTTTTTCTTCCTCTTAATCTCTTGGCCCCCCTGGCCAGATACCAAGGATCCACATAGTATTTCATAACAGTCACTAGTTGTTATCAGTTGTTCTAAAACTCCCAGACATCAAACACAAACAGCTTTCTTATTTGACGCTTCACGAGTAATTAAAACATTCTTCCCCAGCCATTCACAGACACATCTATAGCAGTGTTAAGTTAATCTCGAAGAAGACAGGAAAAAAGGCTGTAACTGTTAGAACTAGAAGTCAGGAATAACAAAAGCAAACAGGTTCACAAATTTAGGGAGTGTTTTCTGAAGACTTGATAAATTGACTGGAATGAGGGGAGACTGGGACACACTGCATCTGTGGTTCAAGAACTAAATTGCCAGTGCAGGGCCCAGGCAGACAGGATTCAAACAGAATTATTCTTTATGGACACGAATTTATGGACACGAATTGGAATTGTTAAAACATTCCTCACAGGCTGGTGAAACACCAGGAATTGGGAAATCCCAGGAATTGGGCACAGGTGCAGGAGCCCCCGTGCCTTTTCTCCCCAAGAAAGGGACATGTGTCCCTGTCCCTGTCCCCTGGTGCTCGTGGGGACCAGCAGTGACACCCGTGTTCCCCTGCAGCAGCTCAGCCATTGCCTCGCTGGTGCACCCACCACCTGCTCGAGCAGCAAAATAAACACAAAATTCACACTTCTCTGGCCAGTTCTTGGCCACAGCACCTGCCCAGGGTCGAGGGAAGCTGAAACAAGCAGGACCCAGAAGATGAGGAACCTTGTGCCAGCTGAAGGTGCTGAAAGTCAAAACCCCTCTGCCCATAAATGCGTTGTCAACGCCCAGCAAGAGCAACCCCGGAGGTGTCATGATTTGTCGCTGGTGTCCCTTGTCCCCTGCCTTGCCCCCCTTGGTGTCCCTTGTCCCCTTGCCCCACTGGAACCATCCCAGGCCATGCTATGGGCTTCAGTCCCCGTGCCCAGCCCCGACCTGGGACACCAAACCCCTTCTCCGGTCCCCAAGGGCTGGGCACCTCCACTGCACGCACATCGGGGCTGAGCACACACCGTTTGGCTCTGCTGGAAGAAAGGTTTTATTGAGATCTTGGCTTGGACGGGAGACATTTGGGTGGGCACATTTTGGGGGGACAGGGAGTGACCACGAGGAGTGGTTTCCAGGCACCGCAGAGCCCTGCCAGCTCGTGGATCAGAGCCTGCCCCCATCAGAGGGCACAGACCAGAGCTGGGGGCACAGCCACCAAGGACCGCAAGCTTTTGGGGTGTCCTGAGAGCCAGGGCTGATGGCTGGTTTCCCCCCCCCCCTGCAGCACCCCATCCATCCCCGTGCTGTCAGTAGAACACCTTTTCCAGGTAGGTGTTCAGGAACATCCCCGTGGGGTCCAGCTTCTCACGGACAGAGCAGAATTTGGGGAAGGCCGGGTACATCTTCTCAAAGTCCTTCCTGGTGCAGCTGTGGGCCTGGGGGAGAGAAAAAAGAGGGGCTGCCCGTGGGTACAGCCTGCCAGGAAGCCCCCCTGGGTAAAGCCACACACGGAGGGGCTGCACCGCATCTCCTCGGGGCACCCCTCTCCCTCTGGGGCTCTCCTCTGAGCCTCTCCCAGCCACAAAGCCCCCACCAAGGGACAAGAGAAGGACCCCCCCGAAATGTGAGGCCACCTCTACCTTTGCCCAGTGTGGTCTCCCACCGTACTTCTTCATGATGCCCTCGTAGGTCAGCCAGTAGTTGAGCCGGGGCACGTTCTTCCCATAGGGCCTAAAGGACAGGCAGGGGGGATATCATCGGGGGCCGTGGAGGGGATCGCACACCCTCCCCCCAAAAAATGCTCCCCAGGGGAGAAGGGCAACCCCAGGGACCTGTTGCTGGCTTTTTGGCCAGCACCAAGAGATGGAAACCCTCTTGGAAATATCACAGCGGTGCCCAAGGCCAGGCTGGATGGGGCTGAGGGCAGCCTGGGTTGGGGGCAGGGTCGTGCCCATGGCAGGGGTGGCACTGGGGGCTCTGAGGGCAGCAGGGGAAGGGAAGGGAAGGGAAGGGAAGGGAAGGGAAGGGAAGGGAAGGGAAGGGAAGGAAGGGAAGGGAAGGGAAGGGAAGGGAAGGAAGGGAAGGAAGGAAGAAGGGAAGGGAAGGAAGGGAAGGGAAGGGAAGGGAAGGGAAGGAAGGGAAGGGAAGGGAAGGGAAGGAAGGGAAGGGAAGGGAAGGGAAGGGAGGGAAGGGAAGGGAAGAAGGAAGGGAAGGGAGGGAAGGGAAGGGAAGGGAAGGGAAGGGAAGGGAAGGGAAGGGAAGGAAGGGAAGGAAGGAAGGAGGGAAGGGAAGGGAAGGGAAGGGGGGAAGGGAAGGGAAGGGAAGGGAAGGGAAGGGGGGGGGCTGCAGCTCACCTGTACATGATGATTCATGTAGCAGCTGTCCCGCTGGAAGCAGGGACTCAGCCAGATCCCGTCCCCCCGAGCGAAACGCACCTCCACGGGGTAGTGGGCCACCATCTTCGGGTTGTTCTCCAGGGCAGCCTTCAGCTCCAGCAGGGCTTCCTTGTCTTCTCACTGCCCAGGAGGCACGGTTAATGCTAGATCCCTTTGGGTTCAACCCCCCCAGCTCCATCCCTGGCCCCATGCTAACTCAGGGCACGTCCCAGTGCCCCCCTCCCATCGCTGTGTGCCCCGGGATGTGGTGTGACATGGAATTGGTGCTCCAGGACAGGGATGCCAAATGTCCCCATGCTATGTTTGAAGCTGGGAATGGTGCCACCAGCCAGGAGCCTTTCCCCGTGGCCTTGCTCCTGCTCCGTGCACCATGAGCTGGGGCAGAGCACGGGCAGGGGATGGCGTTTGGGGTTTTGGGGTGGCCTGCGGAGCCGTTTACATGGGGATGGCCCAGTCCTGCACGTGCTGCTTGAAGCGACACTCATAGTTGAAGATCTTGTAGCTGACGGCAATGTTCTCCACCCGGGAGCTGAAGAGGAGCCAGAAGAAGAAGCGGTTGATCCAGCACACCAAGCTGGGCACGAAGGTGCTGCGGGGGGAGAGCGGGAGGTGAGACCCCGGTGCCAGGGCAGGGAGGCAGCTGCGGAGCCCCCAAATCTCATCCCAGGGGTGCTGGGCAAAGGGGGTGCCCCCTGAACGGGGCTGGAGCCCACCCTGGGGCTCAGGACTTTTTTGGCTAAAAGCTCTCTCTCTGCTGTAAAACCTCGGCACGCTGCTCCTGCTGTGTGCACACGAGAGGGCAGTGCAGCCCCAAGCATCAGCCCCAGCCCTGCTGCTCCTGCACAGGAACCATCTAGGACAGGAGCAGGGAGCCTTCCTCATCCTCTTCCTCCCAGGGGTGGCTGGATGGGGTGCTGAGGGACACAGCCCTGCCCTGCCACCATCCCGGGGACACCCGGCGGCACAGATCTTTGCACAGAGGTGCAGGGGACGGAGCTGGATGAGGAAAAAAAAAAACCTGGAGAAAACCCACCCAAATCCTGGGAGCTGCCCGGATGGTGCCCCTACCTGATCCAGAGCAGGAACTCCAGCAGGTAGTAGCCAACGGCATAATCCCAAAACCAGCTGGCGGAGGAAGAGGGGGGCTGCAAAGCCAAGCAGAGGATGATGATGATGGTCATTAGGGACGGGCAGGGGCTGCATCCTTCCCCACCCCTCTGGGGAGCACGGGTTTGGAGAAGGGCACCCCAGGACCCCCCCAAATCTCCGTCCCGTGAGGAAATAGGGCCAGAAAATCCAAAATCCAGTCCCAGAACGAGAGCAGGCTTTGGGAGGGGGGTGCTGAGGGGTTGCAGAGCCCCAGCTGTGGCCGTGCCGAGGGATGCAGCTTTGGGCACGTCTCCAAACTCCCCTTCTCCCTTCCTGCTCGGGCCCGGCAGCACCTGCCTTGTTGGTGGGGTCCTGGTAGATGACGCTGACGTTCTCGCTGTGCGGGAACCACAGGAATCGGAAATATTCGGATCTCTTCAGGTGGTCCTCCAGGTGATCCAGCACCTGCAGCAAACCAGAGGGAACGGGGCCTGGAGGGAGCCGGGACGCACACACAGCCAGGATGTGCGGCACGGCCCCATCCCAGAGGTGTCCCCTGCTCCGAATGCAAAGTCACCAAATTATTCATAAAGACACAAAAAGGAGCTTTAGGAAAAGCAGCTCTTTAAAGACACCGTGGGCGAGCTGCCTGCTGGCAGCCGAGGACAGCGAGGAGCGGGGAGGTGACAGCCGGGACGATGCCGGTGACGGGGCTGGGGGTGGCTGCAGCCCCAGGACAAACTCAGCCTTGTCCCAGGGACATGGAAAACGAAATCCCCAAGGAAATTTTTGCCTGACCCTGCAGATATGGGCAGGCACACCAGCCCTCGTCCCTGCTCTGTGCAAGGATGGTGAGGATGCGTGCTCACCCTGGGCACGGTGCTCTCCATCGCTTTTCAAGCAGCCTCCCCGTCCCCAGTTCCTCTCACCTCCTCTCCTCCTCCACCGCTTCCAGCTTCGCAGAAAGGCTCAAAGACAACCCGGAGGCTTTGCTCCAGGAATTTGCTTGACATAAAGGGGGAAGCGTGCAGGGAGCAGTGACCCATGGACGTAACCCCAGGGAGGTCAGGGCTGCTTGCTTCCAGATGGGCCGTTGGTATTAACGAGCTATTAATCAGCAGGCCCGGCTGTTTTAGCACCCAGCACTTTGCTGTGACCCCTCCATAAGGTTACAGCCATCGTGCACTCGCGTGGTGCTGGTGGGACGGCAATTAGTGTTAATTAACAACCAAACGCTGCTGCCATCAGCTGCACATCTGCACTGCTCGCAGAGCCACGAGCTCTCTCCAAGAAGGTCCCAGTGCAGCGTGTTTTCTGGCTGGAAAAATCCTTATTTCCAGCTCCTTGCCTCCCCACGGGAACAGAGGGTTGTGCAAGCAGAGGCAGGAGCCACGACCACACGTTTTGACCCCCTCGGTGTAAGGAACAAGTGCACCGAGGAGCTAAAAGAAGTGGTGGAAAGAAGGGTGCAGCGGGCAGCAGCCTTCCCAAGGTGATCCTGCTCGTCTTCCCGAGCCAAAAAAAAAAATAAAAAATAATCAAATTGCCAGCAGGGCGACCTTTAAAATGTGCTCCTTTGATCCCTCTGATAGAGTCAGATTGGTCTGAAGAAAATAAAGCCGTCGGCTTTGTAGGCTAATTGCAGCAGAGCCGAGGGCAGCGAGCTGGCCGGGAGTCCTTGGGGACGCTGCCGGCCGCCTGGGCTGGAGGCAGAGGTTGGCAGCGGAAATCTTGGCGCTGTTACGTGGCCAACACACGCAACGGAGATGGCCCTGGAGCACGAAGAGACCCTGGGGGATTTGCTGAGCTTCGCTTCCCTCCCGGAACAAACCCCTCTGCTGCGCAAAGGCCGGGTCAGAGCACGCTGCTTGCCTTGTGCTGTCCATCAGAGCAAAGCAGGAGAGACGGGGAGCTCGTGGTTTTGGGGAAGAGGTGGGTGCTGAGCCTCTCCCCGTTGCCTGTACCCCCCTGGGAGATCATCTTCCATGCACCAAAAGCAACGCCAGCCCAGGAGGGACCGGGTCAGACCCTGCACTGCGAGGGGATGCACAAAGATTTGGGCACCAGGTGGCCGTGGGGGACCTGGGCTTGAGGGATGCGCCCCAAGGATTTGGGACACATTTACACAGGACACACCACGGGGCTCGGGTGGCCTCAGGTGTGCCACGAACCCCCCTTGTCTGTGCTTTGATCCTGGTCACCACGGGCAGCCAGAGCAGCTGGGAATATTCCAGGGATGGAGACGATCACGAGGCCAGGAAAGAAGGCATGCAGATCTTACATAACCGCAAATCCAAGCCCGGCTCCTCTGACACATGTATTATTTGCAACGTCTTAGATAACTCGGGCTTAAATATTTCAGGCAACCTGCTCCCTTGCCATTATTCTCTTCCGCTTCGCTGGGCGGCTCGACATGAAAGCCTGGAGATCTGGAAGCGAGCGAGGAGCAACGACAACGGGGGATTGATAATGGCATTAATATTTATAGAGTGCATTCCTGCTTCGCCCTCCTGACAGCCCCGAGGGACGGGGAAAGACACGCCGGCCCCGCGGGGCCGAGGGCATGCCCTCAGCCTGGCCCCTGCTCGGCACAAAGCTCCAGCTCCTCGCTAAAAGGCAGATTAGGAGGTGTAAAACCTTCCTCCGGCTGGCACCCCTGCTGTTGCTCGAGGCGAGATCTGTCCTTAGGAGAGCTCCAGGGCAGTGCCAAGCCACCCTGCACACCCCTGGTGCCCCGGGGGGAACGGGGAGGGCACGCTGTGGCTGGACCAGGCGTCTCCAGAGGCACCTTCCAACCTCGGTCACTTGGAGATAATGTGAGATTTGGGCTGAGGAGAGGTGCCCGAGCCTGGCTGAGGATGAAAGCAAACGCTTCTCCAAGCCTTGCTGATCAATCCTGCAGCGAATCCTGCTGCTTCAGTCCCAGGAGCATCCATTTTTCATGAGCCCAGCTCAACCAAGTTTTGTGCCGTCGTTGGCCGGGGCTGGAACTGGACCTGTGGGACTGGGAACTGGGATGAGACAACGGGTGGAGGTGCTGCTGAGGTTTACGCACCAGCGGGGGTGTCAGACCTCGCAGGAGGACAAAGACAACCAGAAGCTGACTCAAATCCAAGCTCCAGGAGTGTTTGCTTTCCATCACCACTGTTTTTTTCCTTCCTGCTGGATGCTGTGCCTCAGTTTCCCCATCCAGCAAGGTAACTCCTTCCAGCGAGCCCCGTGGTGTTGGGAGGCCACCAGGACTCCCAAGGGTCTACGTGCAGGTGGTGCCGTGCTCTTGGTTTTAGCCCCCCGATGACGGGGGTGACCTGGGACACGCTCGGAGCCAACCGTGGGGTGCTCAGCACCCGATTGAGGAGCTCGCCCCATCCAACATCCCGGCACCACGGGGGTGGGAGAGCTCTGAGGAAACGCAGCCAGAATTAGGAGTTCATATATCGGCAGAAATGGGGAAAGTTGGTTTCGATGTGTTCCCAGGAGAAAGGGTTCCTCGGAATTGCTCTCCAAAAATCCCCGCAGGGCCTTCAAAAGGCTCTCTGAAGGATCTGGATGGGACAGCCACCAGTGCCATACACCCCAATCGAGGTGATTGGGAGCTTTGGTAAGACGGAGACAGCTGAGGCCAGTAGTTTGCCAACATGGGAAACCATTTAAAGGGAGTTTTCCACCGTGGGGCTCCATGCAGCTCTGTGGCTGGGCGCTGAGAAGGGATTTCTCATCCCCAGCGTGGTTCCTCTCAAATTCAGCTCCAAAACAAAAAAAAATAAAGATTGAAACGCTGGGAGGTGGAGAAGCCCATCCCAAAACCAGGCAGCCCTCACGCACGAGAAGGGCTGGAGGTAAGACCGAGAGCACAAGGTGCTCTAGGACCATTTCAGGGAGCAGCTTCACCCCTGTGCCTTCCCCTGCGGCTCTCCCCTCTTGCCCGGCTCCCCTCTGCCCATTTCTCCTGCCGGGAGCTTTGCCCAGCCCCGGGGAGCCCTACCTCGGTGAGGGTGGAAGGGAAAGCCACCTCGTGCAGGTGGAACTGGGGCACGCACTGGAAGGTGACGGTGAGCACGACGCCCAGGCAGCCGAGGTGCAGGCGGGCAGCCTGGAAGATGTCCGAATTGACCGATTCGGAGCACTCCAGGACATCCCCCGAGGCCGTCAGCAATGAGAGAGCTACGACCTGCCAGGAGGAGAGGAGAGACATCAGCAAGCACTCCAGCTGGTGGCCCGTCACCAGCCCCGAATCTCGCATCCACCCCAAATCTCACGGCTGGGGGCTGCGCCAGGGTGATCTCTGCTGATCTGCACCCCACCAGCCCCAATCCTGCCCCTTCTGGTGTGGTTGCATGAAAGGATCCTGCTCTCCTCAGGGAATGCCAGGAAAAGCCATGAGCTGAAGAAATAAATCTTCCCCAAGTGACTTCACCTCTCCACACCCATTAGTAGGATCACCATACAGGTTTTGAGCTAGGAACGGGGCATTTTCATAACTGTTTAATTAAAAACCAACCTGGGCACTGCTGAGGCTTGGTTTGGGGGTGGGCTCCAATATTAGGACTGCTTTTCCTTTGGTACAAACTATTTTTTTGGGTTACAGGGTCCTTTCTGGGTCAGGATGACCAGCCCCAGAGCGGGGACGATCCCCACAGGCACCGGTCGATGTCCCTGCATCAAAACCATCCCCCGGGTCTCACCTGGGTGGGGAGGATGCCGTGCTTGATCCCCGTGTTGTGCGTCCCCGTCCCAATCACGCCGGCCGCTGCCACCTCGGAAACGGCTCCCAGACTGCGGGCAAAGGGGTTGGGTGAGCACCTCAACCTCCTCCTCGGGACAGCAGATATCCCAAAGCAACACAAGGAGAGGATTCTCCCACACCCCTTTGCTGTGTCCCACCATTTGACCCGGGGCAAGGACGGGCACCTAGGGGACACCCAGGAGCAGCCCACGCACGCGTCCCACTCACTTGGCCAGGGCCAGCCCGTGCTTGCTCAGCTCCACGTTCAGATCCGAGAGGAAGATGCCGCCTTCCACCGTCACTTGCTGCTTCTCCTTGTCCACCTGCAAGGGACGGGGCACGGGGACGGGCAGAAGAGGAGCTCCCCATGGCACGCTGCTCCTCCCGAGGTGACAGGAGAGCCGCGTGCCACGTGGACCCAGATCCCAGACGGGTGCCAAAAGCACCTCTCCAAGCTTGCATCCAGCACGCCAGGAAAGGCTGAGCTGCCAGAGGGCCCCTGGCATTTGTGGGGGAAATGCCCATTCCCCTGTCTCCTGCCAGCATTTTCAGGGGCTGGTTTAGGAAAACTCCCCTCCCGACCCCTGCCCCAGGTGTGGCGGTGCCAGTGCGGTGCCCAGCCCTCGGTGCCCACCCCAAAAATGGCTCAGGACCACCTGGCCCACCGCAGATCTCACCTTGAGGATCCTGTTCATCTTCCCCATCTGGATCATGAAGTCGTCGGTGCAGGCGATGTCGGAAGGCGAGTGGCCGCCCCCCACCACCTTCACCCTCTTGCCCCGCTGCCGGGCCATCTCCAGGATCTGTGGAGGACACAGGGAGAAGGGCAGAGACCCCAAACTCCACCCTCACCTCCGACACCACCTTTACACTCAAAATTCACCCAATGGGGTTGAAAAATTCACCCCCCAGAGCCCAGACCCCTCCTTGGGACCACCCCAAAATGGTGATAACCCATCGGGGCACCTTGTGGGGTCGTAGTTTTTCCCTGCCTGCTTTCTCCCGGTGCCTGCCCCTTACCTCCCGGACCTCCTCCACCGAGGTGGGCTGGAAGTAGAGCTCCGGGCAGGAGCCGTAGGTTTTGGCCCAGTTCTGGAACCTGACTCCTCCTTGGCCGTGAACCTGGAAAAAAACAAATCCAAAAAATGAAGCAGTGCCCCAATTCCCTCCACACAGTCCCATTTCCCCATCAAAGCCCCTCTTCCCAGGGCCAGGTTCCCCAAGGCCTGGCCCTTTGGGGTCTCAGGGTCACCCCAAATCCATGGGGTCCCAGTGGTGACGTGAACAGGCCACTGGGCCTGCTGCAGGAGGCCAGGCCCATACTGGGGACATTATGGACATAAATACACATGGAGCCCTGCCCTAACTCTTCGTGTGGCCCTTTTGGGGACATATATATGGACATAAATACAGATGGAGGCTTGCCCTCCCTCTTCGTGTGTCCCTTCCTCTCCTACCCCCCTCATCTCATTTTCCTTCCACCCCTCCCTCCGATGCATTCAGCTCTTGTGCAAAGATCCCAAATCTGGCCAAACTGCCCCAAGAAGCAGCAGGGATTCTCCCAGGGGGATCCTAGCCCCTGCCACCCCAGTGCCCCCTTCCCAATCTCCCAATCCCTCCCCCAAAGGCTTTGCAAATCTCCCAAAAGGAGATCGGAGCCCTTGGGGCAAGGGGGCTGCCTGAGTTCAGAGGGAGAGGGAATGGGCAGGCTCAGAAAATCTGTGGGTTAGAAAAAAATAGGAAAAAAAATAGAAAAAAAAAAAAAAGGATAAAAAAATAGGAAAAATCAGAAATCTGTGGGTTAGAAAAAATAGGAAAAAAAATAGAAAAAAATAGGAAAAAATAGGAAAAATCAGAAATCTGTGGGTTAGAAAAAAACTAGAAAAAACATTCCTGCTCAGCAGCCGGAGCCTGACCTTATTTCGTAGGAATCTGCTGCCTTCCCTCCCCCCTCTCCTGATCAACCTTCCTTGTTTCTCATCTCATCATTTAATTTGCTATTAAATCCCCATCGAAGGTCGCAATAAATAAAGCCCTTCACACGCCTGCACCTCCCTCCCCACCCCGAGCGATGGGAAACCCACCCCCAAAGCTGGGTGGGCTCCCCCTTACCATGCTGCTGGCCTCCTGGAGCTGCTGCTGGAGGTGGGGGGACGTGGGGGTGATGTGGGGCAGCGATGTGGGGTGACGAGGCTGGGTGATGTGGGGCGATGATGCAGGGCGATGATGCAGGGTGATGGGGGGCAGCAATGCGGGGCGATGTGAGGTGATGTGGGGCGATGTGGGGTGATGTAGGGTGATATAGGGCGATGTGGGGCTGCTCCTGCTGCCTGGGTTGGTGAGCAGCTGCTCCTCAAGCCTGGGGTCAATGAGTAACAGCCCCGCACCCACCGAGCTCTGCAGGGGGAGGAGAGGGGCTGCGCCCTTCGCCCCCAGGCAGGTGGGGGGGAGCCGGGCTCGTCCCACAGGGCTGCTGCAAACCCTGGGGCTCTGGGAGGAGATTCCTCCATGTGAAGGCATTGAATTCCCTGGAGCAGCAGCCGAAAGGGGCAATAGGGAAAAATCCTGCCACGTCTGGGGGCTGCGTGACCCCCGGTGGGGTGGGCATGGGGAGCCAGGTTTGGCCTCCAGCATCGCCTCTCCACGCGCACTGAGTTCTTCCACCACGCCTCACTCGCTCACCGTGCACCCAAAATTCGCTCCCCATGAGCAGAAGGGGAGGCAGGACCCGAGCAGGGGCTGGCAGCAGCTCCCCCCGTCGCCCCTTTTCATCTGAAGGACGGATGGGGCGAGCGAGGAGCGGCGCTTGCACGGCGAGGCTGCGCTTTGGTGATAAGAAAGCTGGCCCCTCATTAAGGGAGGATGATAACGAGTCACCCGAGCCGCCAGCACCCGCAGCAAGGTGACCCACGGGGGGCTCAGGACACCCTGGGACACCCGTCCCTTCCCGCACGCAATTATTAATAGGGGAAAATTGCTGCTTAATTACAGAGCAGGAGCCTGCGACGGACCCCGCACCCAGAGCTCTCCAGGGGTCCCCACGTCTCCTTTCAAAGCTCCTCCCGAGCCCCCCGCCGCTCTTCTCCTGCCCGCATTAGAGCAAATTAATGAGTAATTCGCCCACACATCTTCCTGCCCGCATCGGCGCCCCCGGGGAGGGGGCAGCTGATTGGGGTCAGACCCCTCCAGCTAACAGCTCTGGGGCCAAGTGCTGCACCAGCAGGTGCAAAGGTCAGCAGAGCCTCCAAAAACAGCCTGAGGGATTATTCATTAACAGAGCAGCTGGGGGGGTGCACATGTGGCTCCCCTGCACGCTTTTGGCACCCAAGGGGGGTGACCCAGCTTGGGTCAGTTTACCACTGAGCAGCAGAGATTCCTTTGATTAAATAAATCAATAAATGAACAAGGGGAGGGGGCTGTTGCATTTTGCCAGCTGGTGGAGCCGTTTGTGATTTTTTTATTTATTTTTTTCTGAGTGTTTTTGTGAATCAGGGAAGGGTTGGGTGGCAATGGGAGCTGCCCAGGCATGCTGCGCGCCTCCCTCCTGGAGCAATTGCTGCAGAGCTTGGCTTGGGTGCTGCTGCTGCAGACCCCAGGCAGGGCAGGATTCAATCCCCTTGGGTTTATCTCCTCCTCTGCCCCGGGGCCGGGCAGTGCCTGCAGACAGGAGCCGCTGCGGCGCCTCTGCAGCTGCTGGCACAGCCCCGGGGTCCTGCTCCGGGCCGCTCTCCAAAAGCTTATTTTCAGGAAACCTGCAAAAATTTCTGACCTTTGCAGCTGTTTTCCTCACTGTCACATCTCATTCTCACACTGCAACGTGTCCCCAAATTGCAGTGTGTTCCCAAATTGCACCACATTCCCAAATTGCAATGTGTCCCCGAATTGCAATGTGCCCCCGAATTGGAGTGTGTTCCCAAATTGCAACGTGTCCCCAAATTGCACCACGTCCCCAAATTGCAATGCATCCCCAAATTGCAATGCATCCCCAAATTGCAATGTGTCCCCAAATTGCACCACCTTCCCAAATTGCAAAGCGTTCCCAAATCAGAGAGCATCGGGGAATCAGAGAATCATTTTGGTTGCACCACGTTCCCACACTGCAACATGTTCCCCAATTGCACCACGGTCCCAAATTGCACCTGGGGGCAGCGGGGTTTGCCCAAACTGCTGGCTCGTGGCTGGAGCATGCGAGGGGTCTGCCAGAGCCGCGACCCCCCCGTGCAGACGGGGTCTGGGGCTTGGCTTTGCCGCAGAGCTCTCCGAGGGTCTGGGAGGTGAGAGCGATTTGAGCACTGGCAGCAAGCGGCTGCTTTTCTTTTTTTTCCCCTCCTTCTTGCTTGTCCATTTAAAAAATAAAAGATAAAATTGAATTATGGGCGGCTTTTATTCTTTATTTCTTGCCTCTCCGCCTCCGAGGACTTCATCCTCTTTCTCCTTCCCCTGATAATTGCTTTTTTTTGTGCTGTATCAGTGGGATGGGGCCCTTGGACCAGTGTCACCTGCTGTGGGGAGCTGGGTTTTGGGGCTGTCCCAGGGGGGCTGTGACCCCGTACACACACCAGGACCCCCCCTGTGCCCCCTGTGGATCAATGGCCCTGCTGCCTTCGCACTTTGCCCAGCACCGTGGCACCCTCCCAAGGGGCAAAACCCCACTGGGAGATGGAGCCAGGCCCCGTAGGGTTACCCGAGCTTCCCCAAAGCAGCCCCCAGGGTTGTAATTTAACAGCTCCGAGGGCTGAGCCTTGGCTGGGGGCTCGGGGGCAGCCTGAGCCATGCCCCAAAGCGCCTGTGGTTCACTGCTTCCCCCTGCAGAGTCGATATTTTTCACTGCAGGCTCATTTTTAAGGAGAAACCAGAGGAAATGTGCATTTTCCAGCCCACCCCTGGCACGCGTGGGGCAGGAGCATCCCCAAAACACCCTGCACCCGCGCCTCGGTGCATGCACCCCATGCCATGTGGGTCCCAAGGGGGACCAAAAAAAAAAAAAACCTAGCAGGGGATAAATAATGGGAATCCCAGCTTTAATTCCCATGCACGGGGACAAATCTGGCACGAGGCTGAGGGGCAGGTGGCGAGGTGCAAGGCCAGGCGGGGGTGGCCTGAAACCACCACCCAAGCGGTGCGCAAATCCCTCCCCCAGCTGGATTTATTCTTTGCCAAGGCCAAACCGCTGAGTCTCCGCTCTCCCAGGGCCACGCAATGATTTTTCTTCTCGATACTAATATACTTTTTTTTTTTTTTTTTTTCCCCTTGTTCTTGAAGGTTTGGATTTATGGAGCAGGAACCGCAAAGATTTTTCTCTTCTGAAGCCAACCTTTTGTGAGCTGCCCCTCGTGCCGAGGCAATTTCTTTCAAGCCTCTGCTCCTTGAATCAAGGACTTGAAACCCCCCCGGCTTCTCCCTCACATTTTCTGTTTTCTTGATGCTTTGGTGACCCCCCCAAGGAGCCGGACATCGGCCACGGGGCATTACGAGGACGTGGCTGGTTCGACGCCTTCATCAGTGCTCACCAAAATTTTATGGATCCATTGCAGGGTGCTTCTTCCCACCCCAGCCCAGCTGAAGCCTTCCTACCTGCCTGTCCCCCCCCCAACCTGGCCGGTCAAACCCCTGCGGGGGGCTCGGTGCCCTGCAGCCCCCCCAAAAAAAACCTGTAATGCAAACCCAGGGGCACCCGGCGCCTTTCTGGGGGCGTTTGCATGGCTCTGGATGGGGTCCCTTGGGCTCACCACCACCCTGCCCCACATCTGCTTAGGGTCTGGGGGCTGTGGGGCGCCTCTGCGCTGGGGGGGGTCGCTCTGGGCTAACCCCATCCACCCGTCTGCAGAGCCTCAGAGCTCCCCAAGCGTGCCGAGGATGCGTGCGCCCAGGGGACCTTGGATGCGTGCACCCAAGGGACCCAAAAATGCCCGCACCCACGGGGCTGAAGGCTGCAGGAGAGGGGTCAGGGAGCCTGGATTGGAATTCAGGATGGGGGGGCTGCCAGAGCAATGCCTTGCTTTGGATTTGGGGGGTGCAGTGAGGGAAAGGGGCTCGGGAGCCATCCCCAGGGTGGGCGCAGGACCTGGGCACGGTGCGCTTGCAGCTCCAGAGCCCCCCGATGGGTGCAAGCACCCAGGGGGGGGGGATTGCACGAGGGGCTGGGGGGGCTCCCTGTGCCCCTCAGGCTGCATTCTGCTCTCCTGCAAACGCCCCCGACAAAACAAGTGACGAAGCCAGCCCTGGTGCCAGCTCTGGGGCCCCCTTGGCAGCCCCCACCTCGCTCTGGGCAGGCTCTGGCCGCCGCTCCCGGCTTTTATATTCCAGCAGCAGCCTCCAAAACAGCTCAGGAAGCCAGCAGGATGGGGAGAGAAAGAGAGCCAGAGCTCGCTGGTGGATTTATGGGGAGCCGGAGGGAGCGGCTGGGGGGCCCCACTGGCACCCCGACCCCACAGCTCCCAGGGGTGCCCCCCAGCTCGGATCCGTGCCTGGGGTGCTGAGCATTTTGGGGGGCTCGCTGGCAGAGCCAGAGGTGCTTGGAAGGGAGATGAGCCGGGGTGAGCAGACGGACAAACCGCAAACCCTGCGCTGAAAATAGCCGGGGAAGAGTTTTTTTGGGGGGGAAATACCAAGCGTGTTTGCCCGCTCCTTCACGCCGCCCCGGCTGTCTGCTCGCAGCTTCTGCTGGGGCCAGAAAAAGGGGTTGGAGCTGAGGAAAATGGCACGGCAGGCACGAGGAGGAGAGCCCTGGCACCTCGGGGACGCCGGGGATGCTGCGGCACCAAGCCGCCCCGAGGAGCAAGGGGGGGGATAAGCAGCAGGGGCTCAACCCTCTTACGAGCCAGCAGAGAATCTCCAGGGGTGCCCCAGCCCTCGGGATGGCCCCGGAGGAATTTGTAGGGAAGGGCTGAGCCCGGTGCTGTGGGGACGTGGGGCTGGCGCATCCCCAACCCACGCTGAGAGTCGATGGGAGCCCCTTGGGTCGCTTTGTGCTTCATTTCTCCATGTTTTGGGTTTTTTTTTGGGGGTGGGGGGGGCGATTTTGGCAGCAGCATTAATTCTCACCAGTGCATCCAAACCTCTCTGAGCACACCCCCTGGAGCACGGGCAGCCCCCCGGGATGGGGTGGAGGCGATGCAGGGAGTAGGGGGGGGGATTTGGGGTGCTGTGGGGGGGGTCTGCGCCCGGCCCCACTCACAGCCGGGACCCCCTGGGCATGGCCACTGTCGGGGGGGAGCCCCTCCAGCCACTCCACCAGGATCTTGTTCAGCGCCGCCGGCCTGGCAGGAAGGGCACAAATTGGGGTTTGGAGATGGATTCTGGTGGCACTGGGGGGGGAGTGCCCAGCCCCCAGGGGGGGGTGTCGTTTTTTGGTACCTCTCCATCTGCGTCCAGTGGCCGCACTCCTCCAGGTGACCCCGGCGCAGCTGCGGCACCTTGAAGGGGGGCAGTGAGGGGGGTGTTATGTGCTGCCCCCCCACCCGGCAGCAAGGATAAATCCCCCCCCACATCACCTCCACCCCCCTCTGGGAAGGAGATGTTGCCCCCTCCCCGCT